TGCACAAACACATGGAAATTGAATAACACCCTCCTAAACAACCAATGGGTCACAGAGGAAATTAAAGAAGAAATTAGACAGAAATATGGCAACACAACATACAGGAATCTATGGGACACAATGAAAGCAGTTCTATGCGGACAATTCATAGCAGTGAATGCCCATATTAGGAAAACAGAGCGAGCTCAAATAAGCAACCTAATGCTGAACCTTAAGCTCCTAGAAAAAGAAGAGCAAGACAAACCCAAACCTCATACAAGGCAGGAAATTATACAGATCAGAGCAGAAATCAGTGCAATGGAGATTAAGAGAACGATACAAAAAACTCAATGAATCGAAGAGTTAGTTTTTTGAAAGAATAAATAAAATTGATAAACCCTTAGCCAACCTTATCAAAAAAAAGAAAAGGCCCAAATTCATGCAAATAGGAACAAAAAAGGTGAAGTCACAACAGGTCCATCACAAATCCAGAGGATCATCAATACCTACTTTGAGAACCTGTACTCTAATAAAATGGAAAACACAGAAGAAATGGACAGATTCTTAGATACATATGAATTACCAAAGTTGAATGAAGAAGACATAAAAAGTCTAAACACCCCAATTACAATCAGTGAAATTGAAAATGTAATTAAAACTTTGCCAAGTGGCCAGGGATTTAGCTCAGTGGTTCTGGTGCCTGCCTCGAAAGCACAAGGTCCCAAGTTCTATCCCCAGTACTAAAAAAAAAAAACAAAAAACAAAAAACAAAACTTTACCAACAAAGAAAAGCCCAGGTCCTGATGGCTTCACTGCTGAATTCTACAAGACATTTACAGATGATCTATTGCCACTACTCTTTAAACTCTTCTATGAAATTGAACGGAAAGCAATACTTCCAAATTCATTCCTGGAAGCGTTATTTTGATTCCAAAACCAGGGAAAGACCCAACCAAAAAAGAGAATTACAGGCCAATCTCCCTAATGAACATAAATGCAAAAATCCTCAACAAGATAACAGGCAAACAGAATACAGAGTGTCATCAAGAAGATCATACACCCTGACCAAGTCATATTTATCCCAGGGATGCAAGGATGGTTCAATGTTCATAAATCAATAAATGTAATACACTATATTAATAGAGACAAGGACAAAAACCATCTGATCATCTCAATTGATGCAAAAAAGCATTCGACAAAATCCAACACCCATTCATGATAAAAACCTTACAGAAGGGCTGGGGATTTAGCTCAGTGGTTCTGCCACCTGGCTCACAAGCGGAAGGTCCCGAGTTCTATACCCGGTACCAAAAAAACCCTACAGAAAATTGGAATAGATGGTCTTTATCCAAACTTGATAAAGGTTATCTACGAAAATCCAACAGTCAACATCATACTAAATGGTCAAAAACTGAAAACCCTACACTAAAGTCAGGAACAAGAGAAAAATATCCACTTATCACCATTCTTGTTCAATATAGTTCTGGAAACATTAGCTACAGCAGGGCTGGGGATTTAGCTCAATGGTTCCAGCGCTTGCTTCGCAAGCACAAGGTCCCGAGTTTGATCCCTGTACCAAAAAAAAAAAAGACCAACAAACATGAGCCACAGCTATTAGACCACAGAAAGAAAAGGAATAAAAATAGGAAAGGAAGAAGTTAAACTGTCATTATTTGCTGACGATATGATACTCTACATAGAAGACCCAAAAATTTCCACCAAAATACTAGACTTAATTGACAGATTCAGTAGAGGAGCTGGATACAAGGTAAGCACTCAAAAGTCAATAGCTTTACTGTACACAATTAACAGACTGAGAGAGAAATAAAGGAAACAATTCCTTTCACAATAGCATCCAAAAAAACGAAATATCTAGGAATCAATCTAACAAAGGAGACAAAAGACCTCTACACTGAAAACTACAGCACTTTGAAAAATGAGATCAAAGAGGATATAAGAAAATGGAAAAACATCCCTTGCTCATGGGTAGGAAGAACCAACATAATGAAAATGGCCATACTTCCAAAACTGCTATACATTCAATGCAATCCTGACTGAAATCCCAACAGTGTATTTCACAGAACTACAGAAAATGATACAAAAATTCATTTGGAACCAGAAGAGACCTAGAATAGCAAAAGCAATTCTAGGCAACAGAGACATGATGGGGGTATCACAATCCCCAACTTGAAACTATACTACAAAGCTACTGTAATAAAAACAGCATGGTACTGGCAAAAGAACAGACCTGAGGATCAGTGGAATAGATTAGAAGATGCAGAAGCAACTCCAGACATACTCAGCCACCTTATCTTTGACAAAGGACCCAACCATCCTGACTGGAGGAAAGACAGCCTCTTTAATAAATGGAGTTGGATGAGTTCAATCCCCAGTACCAAATAAATAAATAAATAAATAGTGTTGGAAAAACTAGATTTCAACCTGCCAAAGATTAAAACTAGACCCCTATCTTTCACCAAGCACTAAACTAAAATCGAAGTGGATTAAAGATCTAAATATTAAAACAGAAACACTAAACTTACTGGAAGGTAAGTTAGGTAGAACTCTCGAAGACATTGGCATAGGAAAAGATTTCATGGACAAATCCTCAGTAGCACAGGAACTTGCACAAAGAAACAACAACTGGGATCTCATCTTATTAAAAAGCTTCTGCACTGCAAGAGAAACCACCAACAGAGTTGAGACAATCTACAATGTGGGAAAAATTTTTTTACCAGGTGTTCCTCAGACAAAGATCTACTATCTAGAACAAAAAAAGAACTCAAAAAAAATCAGACCCCCCAAATATAAAGACCCAATTCAAAAATGGCCATCTGTGGCACCTGCCACACAAGTGCAAGGTCCCGAGTTCGAGCCCCAGTACCAAAAACCAACAAAAACAAAAATGGGCATCTGAAATGAACAGACATTTCTCAAGTAAAAACAGCAAATAAATATATGAAAAAATGTTCAACATCATTGGTCATTCGAGAGATGCAGATGAAAACAACACTGAGATTCCACCTTACTCCAGAAAGAATGGGTGCTATCAAGAAATCAACCAATAACAAACGTTGGTGGGGCTGTCAGGAGAAAGGAACCCTTCTCCATTGTTGGTGGGAGTGCAGACTGGTGCAACCACTGTGGAAATCAGTATGGAGATACCTCAAAAAATTAGGATTGGGCCGGGGATTTAGCTCAGTGGTTTTGCCACCTGCTGTGCAAGCACAAGGACTCGAGTTCAATCCCTGGTTCAAAAAAAACCCCCTAGGATTAAAGGTCCCATTTGACCCAGCTATCTCTCTGCTGTGTTTCTTTCAAAAGAATTAAAAGAATCATGCCACAGTGATATATGCACACCCATGTTTATAGCGGCACAGTTTGTAATAGCTAAACCTTGGAAACAGCCCAAATGCCCATCACCTAGAGACTGTATAAAGAAGATGTAGTTTTTTTATAAAACAGAGTACTACTCAGCCATAAAGAAAGAGAAACTAGAGACATTTATAGCTAAGTGGATGCACATTGAGGCCATACTCTTAAGTGAAATAAATAGGACACACATGTAAATACCGAATAGTTTCTCTGGTGTGAAAATACTAAAAGTGTAAATAAGGTTCAAATGGTATAATTGATAATGTGAAATAGGACAAAAAAGGTCTAAAGGAGTTGGGAAAGTGGGAAGGGTAGGGGAAAGGAAAGAAGGGAAAGGAATAAATATGAGAAAAGGAAAAAATGGAAACAGTCTTTGTAAATAGTGAAGGGTGGAGGGGGTGAAGGGAGGGCAGGGAAATGGGGAAAAAATAAGAACTAAGATACATCACGTAAAGTTACAAGATCCCCACAATGAATGTAACCATATTTTATACCTAAAATGTACCAATAAACTTAATGAAAAAAAATAAAAAATAAAAAAGGGTTGAGGATTTACCTTGGTGCAAAGACCCTCAATACTACCAAGAAAAGGAAAAATGAGAGAGAGAAAAAATAAAAACAGATAAATTTGACCATATAATACTGTGGCAAAAGATTATCATCCACATATTAATCAAAAGATAAAATATTTATAACATAAGCTAGAAAAGGACTTTTCTTAATGTACATGTAATTCTTATAAATCAAGAAAAATAGGAAAAGCATTGGCAATTTCACAGTAAGTCAAAATGTTAAATAATTTTAAAAGATGATCAGCTTCATTCTAGATAAACACAATGCATATAAACTGCATGTAAGTTTTCACCTATAATTTTGACAAAGATGAATAAGTATGCTAATACAATGTTGGCAAGGGAAAAGTTTTCATAAACTGTTGGTGGGGGGCTGAATCCACATAGTCTTTAAAGGAGCCAATTTGGTAACTTTTTTTTTTTTTTGGTACCGGGGATGGAACTTGGGTCCTTGCACTTGCACAGCAGTCGGCGAAACCACTGAGCTAAATCCCTGGCCCTTCAATTTGGTAACTTTCACAATCCAAACCACAAAAACCCTTCAACTTAGTGAATTATAAAATCATATTAACAGGTACATTTTTCACATTAATATGTAGACTATACCTTTCTCCTTAAGGATATTCACTGTAGCGATGTTTGAAACAGAAAAATAAAATCAAAGCCAGGTGTGGTGGCGCATGCCTATGATCCCAGCACTCGGGAGGCTGAGGCAGGAGTATCACTGTGAGTTCAGGGCCAGCCTGAACTACAAAGGGAGACCCTGCCTCAAAAAACCAAAAGAAAAAAGAAAGAAAAATAAAACCAAACAAACAAGACATTTCTTTTTTTTTTTTTGGTAGCGGGGATTGAACTCAGGTCCTTGTGCTTGCGCAGCAGCTGGCGAAACCACTGAGCTAAATCCCTGGCCCACAAGACATTTCTAATAACCACTGAATGCCACCACACCATGGACAATAAATCGGGGTACTTACATCAAATAGAATGCTATTCAGCCATTAATAAGAGTGAGGTAGCTATGTGCTGACAGGGAAAGATCTTTATGAGTAAAAAAGCAAGGTGCAGGGTAATACATATAATATGATCCCATTTATTTAAAAATAAAGATTACATATTTGCTTATATATGCATAAAAATTTTCTGAAAATTACATAAGAAAACTGTTAATAGAGGTTACATCTGAGGACTAGTAGTATTGGGGGTAAGACGTCAGCAGGGGACTTCATTTTCATTTTGTATCCTTACATACTGTTTTGGATATCTTACCATTTTTTTTAAAAGATAAAATTGAGGAATCCTCCTACTCAAGATAATGTATTTTTTAATGCACATTTCTCTAACATTTATATTTGACTTTCTTCAAGACAAACTAACTTGAGGTACTCAATGTTTCTGTAAATGTATTTCTAACAGTAAGGTCACACCTATTTGGCAGGTTTAAAAATTATGTACTGCTGCAGTTTTAAAGATGATAAAACTAAATGGGATGCTTACTTGAGATTTTCTTTTTCAAACTCACTTTTTAAATTATGCAAACAACAGGATCACTGTAGAACACAGGGAAAATATAAGGGTGCAAAAAGGAAAACTAGAATCGCATATAACCACTCTTACCAGTATTGTTTTGTTGTTTTCTTTCTTTACACATATATTAATATGTAGTTCTATCTATATATAAAATGTATTTACAAAGCTGAGATCATAGTGTACCTACAGCTCTGTACCCTGCTTCTTTTCCCCCAATACATAACAGATGCTCAATAAACATGTTAAACTGAATTAGTACTGTACCATTTCTCATCAAAAATTGCTTCTACAGAAGGCATTTAGTTGGTTTCCAGTTTTTAAGTAAAATAAATACACTTTACGATGTTTCAATTTATCTTTATCTGTATGATCATTCCTTAGGAAAAATTATTGGATCAGAGTACAAAATACTAAAGATCTATTGGTTCTCACTCCTACCAACAGCACAGCCTATTCTCACTGTATCCTTGCCAACACTATCACCATTTTAAAAATTCATTGTTATTTCATTGGTGAAAAACAAAGTTTGCTGAGAATTTCTTCCTCTCATTATAAAATAAAGTCAAAGCTTTCCTACATATTGACTCAAAAGCAATACCATCCAATCTAAAAACAAAGCAAATATCACACAGCCTTTTTCAAACACCATTAATTTAGTGGTCTCCACTAGCAAAATTATGTGACTTAGTATGTTAAGTCAGACTAAGATTCTCTTAATAATAATCAGATCAGTAAAGGTGTATCTTTATACTTTTTGTCCTATACCACAGGTACTTTAGGTCCTAGAAGTGTGATTACTAAGTATAAAACATCAGTATAAAGGTGAGAGGGAATACCAGGTTATAGACAAGCACTTCTTATCTGTTTTGTATCAGATGAGAACAAAGACCATAAGGTTATACAAAGCAATGCCTCACTGACCTAGAATAAACAGTAAATGACATCAATGAGTGTCAGAAAACCCTTTTCCTACTGAGATAGCATAGGAATACTGGGAAGAAAAAAATCAAAGAAGCATTAACCTCAACAGAGCCCTGTACAATAAAAAGATGCTTAAAGCAAAAATAAGATCATTCTGATTTTTGAAAAAGATTTTTTTATTCAGTATTTAAGTAAGATTAAAACCTACAAGATTTTGCTTGCAGCTGATGAGCAAAAAGAAAAGTCAAACATAAGTTTTCATCTGATTGGCTAGTTAAAATGCTCTAGGAGTCAAATTACTCAGTGATATACCAATTACTTTGGGCTTAAGAGTCTTGGAGAAAGGAGTATTCTAAACAAAATGTCATCTGAGAGCACAAGGCTAAAGGGTATATAAAATACTGAAGCAGCAGCTGATAGAGTGAGGCTGTGGCAGACCTTTTGATTCTTTTAGGCATCTAGCAATTGTTACTGTATGCAAGAACCTAGCAGCCAGTTATTTTATGTCTTGACTTTTTTGAGTTAAACACTTTAACCCATACCCACTAAGCAGGAAAATAAAGAGATACTTTATAGATCAGTTGGAAAACAAAGCAGACCCACTTCTCCAGTAGAATAAGAGAAACTAATTATTGTACATATTGTACTTGTTGCATTACATCTGCTGCGTAGAATTTCCATTCCAAGTGTTGTTTTCATCTTCACCATCATCTTGAGTCCTCAATCTATATATCTTCCCTTCCTTTTTAAAATCTTCCCCTCGTTTTTCCAGCACTCTTTTTCTGACTGGTTCCCTAATATGCAAAAGGGGGAGAAGAAGGAAGATGACATACAATAAAAACAATGGTAATACAAAACTATTTCCTTCAAACCTTCATTAGTACAGTATAAGCAACTATATTTTACTTTTTTTTTTAAACTCCAAGGTAAGGAAAATCCATGAGAGATAATTGTATCTACTAATGCAGTACTAGATTGTATTAGGCTTTTGGTAGTTTAACTTCATCAGTTTTCTAAGCCAAACCGTATTTTCTGTTTCCAAGTACAGTATTTCTTTATGATTCACTAAGCTTTAGAAGAGTGTGACCATATGCTAAGTAATCTTTTCTCTTTTACTTATGCAAGCTGATATACTTACTACACAGCACCCTAGAGGCTATCCAAAGCTCCAGGCACGGTCTAAATGACAAAAATGGTCAATCAGTAATTTTCAATCCTCCCAAAATCTTTTAGAATGACTTACAACTAAGAACAAATAGGACTTCCTCATGTGAAAATAGGAAGGAAACTGGGGTGAAATTTATGCTAAAAGAATTGTATAATAGAGGGGAAAAAAGGAAAAACAACAGAATAAAGCTTCACCCTCTTAGATGTATCTTCAACACATTCTTTGCCTCAACTCAAGACATTTCCCTTTATTTGAATGTTTTAAAAACCTACACAGCAAGTTATCCTACATTACAGTAATTATTACAATACTAAGTGGTTCTACACACTGTTCAGTAAGAGTTCTAAAGTTCAATACTAAAAAGACCTACTCTAAATGCTATTCTAAGACCTCTAGACAGAATTCCCCCATGCCCTCGACTTAAGTATTGTAAGAAGGATGTAACTGGTTTTGCTTCCTAGTAGTCAAGAAATAAATCAAGATAAAGACCAATCAGTGTAGTCATAGTATTTATATAACTCATCTATAGACTCAATGGAATGCAAGACTAGGGCTCTCCATGCTGATAGCAGACAGAGGCAAGGATTTTCAATACATAATACAGGATTGAAATCAGATGTGCTACAATGCCTATTAAAGGCCCAACACTGTTTAAAATAAGAGCAAGTATTGTATACAGAGGTACCTCGGAATTTCTTTCCACAAATCTGGTCACAAACCAAATTGGATGAGAACCAAATCAAATTCAATGGTTAGGTTCAATGTTGACCTTATGGGGAAATTTGATTTGGTTCTTGTCCAATTCAGTTTGTAATCAGAATCACAGAAAGAATTAAGTTTGTGAACCAAGGTACCACTGTATAAACGTACTGATTATTAGAAGGCGGTATAATCTCACCTTCTGGAAAATACTTGTTTACTTGTTTCAAATATGTACAACCTTAACCGTTATAAGAGGTATGACTTAAAATTGCCAGTATTGTCTGTATTATCATTCAAACCTTTGCTATCTGCAATAAAAGTAAGACCTCTTGATTTACAGTAATTAAAAGTAATTTTAGGGGCCGGGGATTTAGCTCAGTGGTTCTGCCACCTGCCTCAAAAGTACAAGGACCTGAGTTCGATCCCTGGTACCCCCCCCCCAAAAAAAGTAATTTTCAGGGCTGGGGATTTAGCTCAGTGGCACCGTGCCTGCCTGGCAAGTGCAAGGTCCTGAGTTTGATCTCCAATACCAGAAAAAATAAATAAATAAAATAAAAGTAATTTTCAGATGGAGCCATCAGTTTTAAGGGAATGTCTAATTTCCTCAATTTGGTCCATCTCTGAATAATCCAAAAGACTGCTGGCCAGCAGATCAAAGAAACACCAGGGTCTAAATTATCTAAAACACAATGATTCCACTAAAGAAATGATGCAAATTGACTATAAGCAATGGAATAAACTATCTTATTAGGCAAAACATGGTTAGCAAGAAAGATATTGCATATGGGGGTGGGGGCTGATCTTCCTTGATAGTTATGAATAAGGAGAATTCAATGAGTGAAATAATTTTTTTAAAGTTGCTTTCCATGCAATAGGTTTTAGAAAGATGACTGAAAAAATTTAGGTACTGAGCTTCTAGGATGATATAAATTTCCAGAACATATTTTTCTCTCCACCACAGGGTGGGAGTTGGGGTGGGGGACAGGGACAGACACATATACCAGTAAGAAAGTAAAGTACCCTTAATACAATTCTTCATTTGAAAAAGGTACTGAGCTAATGTTAAACATTTTACAAAGTGGGGAAAACAGACATATACCTTTTTTCCGATTTGCCAGATGATGTAGGGTTTGAAGATTCTGGTGATGGTGTTCTCACTGAAGTCTGTGCAGAGGGAGGATTACTAAATAAGAAGTTGCTAATCAATCTCCAGATGGCAAGAAATGGATAAAGTACTGTCCCCAACAATGTCCAAATGTCTCCACTGGAAGAATGTACAATGGATGTAGCTGGTCTTCCTGCCTAGAAATTTAAAAATAACAAACCTAGGTAAAGATTGTATCAGCAGAATCACATCACTGAAGGTTCTAGTTGCATCTTTTATTTGGAAAATGAGATCCTATGGATTTTAGTTTGCTGCAAAAAGGTAAAAGTACCACTTTTTCTCTTTTCCAAGTGTATATAAATTTCTGGGAATGCCTGGGGCTCTGATTTTTTTTTTCCTGTTTTTTTTGAGACAGGCTCTCACTATGTAGCTCAGGCCGCCTTTAAACTCATGCCAATCCTCCTGCCTTAGCCTCCTGAGTGCTGGGATTACAGGTGTGTGGCAACACCCGCCCCCCCCAGCTTGGAGCTCTGATTTTTAAGAGTACTTATACAAATTAAGAAGCAGTTCTCAATGGTGAAATAAACTTTCCTGTTGACAAAAAATGTTTCAAAACTCAATGAATAAAGTGAAATTCTGATTAATGTAGGGCTGTTTTAGTTGGGGTGTGTGTGGTGGGTCCTAGATTACAGGAAACTACACTAACCAGAACACAGAAGAGCTAGGATCTCTTTCCAGCTCTGTCACTTGGGACCTTGGTATCACTTAAGCTTTCTGAGCATCCTTTCTTCTTCAGAGATTAAAATGTTGTAAGGATCAAATAGGAATAATATATTTGAAATTTTGTTATTTTTATACTGAAATAATGTGTTTTAAAGATATGGGAAAAAGAGTTATATAAACAAAAGACATTAAGTCTATGTATTAGCCAGATATTCCATATTTCCTTTTTTTGGTTTGGTTTGGGTTTTTCTTTTTTTTTGAGACAGGGTCTCACGATATAGTTCAGGCTGGCCTTGAACTCACTATGTTGAACTCGAAGCAATCCTCCTGCTTCAGCCTCCTGAGTGCTAGGATTACAGGTAAGCACCATTACGCCCAGCCTCCTCCATATTTATTTTATTTTTTCTTTTTTTTTAAATTTTGAGACAGGATTTCACTAAGCCACTAAGTTGCTTAGGCTGGGCTTGAACTTGTGATCCTCCTGCCTCAGCCTCCCATATACAACCACACCTGGCTTCTATATTTTTTATTTCCTTTTGGTCACTTTTTATAAACAAAAATAGGTGACGAAAAAGCTGAAATTTAAACCAGTGCCTCACAAGAATATGTACAATAAAAATATAAAAAGCATAGGATAATTGCACAAAAATTTATCTATTTTTTGGATAATCTGGATTTTAATTACCCCAAGGAAAGTAGTCTTTCTCTTCTGCTAATATAAGAAATGACTGAAAATAAAACAAACAAAAAATGTGTAAGAGAAAAAAAAAATGTATATACATACTGGTAACAGCACCACTGAAGCACTTGGGGCAAGTTCCAAATCTAGTAATTTCTTTTTATAATCTTCTTTGGTAAATTCCCTCCTGGGAAACATGGTTGCTAATGAGAAATTACCGTAAGTGTTGCCAACAGTCTGTAACAACAATAAGTTTTAAAACCTTACAAAGGTGCCTTTAGAATACCACATTATTTGCATGCATTCAAAATGACTGCTTTAATTAAAATTGTCTTAATTCAGAAAGTTTATATAAATGTAAATTCAAAGGTTACTTATTTAAAAAGCATCTACAACTAAAAGATGACCACAAAATAACCAAGAACAGTTCCAAAAACTAGATAAATAATCTGACTAAAAACGACAATCATAGGCTGGTGTACAGCTCAGTGAGGCAGAGCAGCTGTAGCATGTACAAGGCCGTGGGTTCGTCCTCAGCACTGCAAAAAAGGACAATTATATATCTCCTTTATGTATGGTTTGAGTTATTCATTACTTTTCACTATTACTTGGCAAACATGTTAACATCTCATAAATATACATCATGGATTATTTTGAGACAGAGTTTCACTATGTAGTTCAGGCTGCCCTTGAATTCACTAAGTAGCCCAATCTGGCCTTGAACTCATAGCAATCTTCCCATCTCAGCCTCCCAAGTGCTGAGATTACAGGCCTGTGCCACCACACCCAGCTACATTATGGATTATAGGTACTTCCTATTAAAAATCTGGGAAATACCAGTATTTCCCTTACACACAGGTGTACCTCATTTTTTTTTGTACCGGGGATGGAACTCAGGACCTTGTGCTTGTGAGGCAGGCACTGTGACAATGAACTAAATCCCCAGCCCAGGTGTACCTCATTTTATTCCAGTTTGCTATAATGTGCTTTGCACCAATTGTTTTTGTTTTTAAATAAATTGAAAGTTTGTGGCAACCCTGAGTCTGATGACACCATTTGCTAACATGTGCTTATGTCTGTCACTTTTTTTTTTTTAAACATATTTACTTTTTAAAAAAGATATAATGGGCCGGGGATTTAGCTCAGTGGTTCCGCCGCCTGCCTTGCAAGCGCAAGGACCCGAGTTCAATCCCCGGAATCAAAAAAAAAAAGATATAACATGACTGCATACTTCACAGACTACAATATAACATAAAAATAACTTTATATTCATTGGGAAACCAAAAAATTTGGGTGGCTCACTTTATTGTAATGGTGTGGAACTAACCCTATAACATCTCTGAGGTATACCTGTGTATAACGTCAAGAATTTAGGCTGTCTTCTTGTTTCAATGTCCATAATCAACCTATACCATCAATAATCTCAAATCCAGGAACTTACACTGGGATACACCACAATCACCTTCACAACATTAAAGCACTACACTTATAAAAATCTTAAAACAACTGCTTCTCTTTCCCTAGAAGATTCCAAAAAGACTAATTTTTAAATGTACCTCATATACATACACCTCACTGTTCTCAACTTTAACATTAAGGATATGCAAGAATATAAAATACAGTCATCGTACTGGGGTAGAGTTTGTTTTTTGGGGTTTTTTTGGTACCGGGGATCGAACTCGGGTTCTTGCGCTTGCGCAGCAGGTGGAGAAACCACTGAGCTAAATCCCCGGCCCTGAAGTAGAGTTTTAATAGGACATGATCTCTTTTTTGTGATACTGGGGATTGAACTTGGGACCCTGAGCTTGCTCGGCAGGCGCTGGAACCACTGAGCTAAATCCCTGGCCCAGGACATGATCTCTTTATCTTAAGTATCCTCTCTTCATTCATCTGAAGTAGAACCAGTGTAACTCAGGGTAGGGGACACTGTGTGGTAGGCTCCAAGACAAAGAAAGAATGACATGCCTATGTGGGGTTGGTTCTACTATAAAGCTTATGGGAAAAGGGTTTTTATATTAAGTTTTTATACTGTCCAACCCCGCTCGAGAGTGCAGGAAGACGGATTTTCAGTATCCTCTTGGGGCCTGTAAGTGAGAAAAGACTAAATGGTAAAAGAGGGCTGGTGGACAGATATGAACTTAGCATCCAACTCCCTAATTTTAACCTTGTAGTCATATACAGAAACATATGAGAAAAATATTAGCATATATAATAAACCTGGATCCTAAAAGACATCTTATGCCCAGAATGCAATTTGAGTAAGGAGCCAGACAATAAAAAAACCTGAAAACTACTAATATCTTATTTTCTAAGATATAAAATGTAATATCCCATATGAATTTTCAGTAGGGCCACATTTCAAAGGTAAATTCATGATTTACTCATATTCATCAGGTTCTGCTTTAAAATTTCCCCTTCTACATTTTAATAACTTATATAGCCATTTTTACTATAACTCAAGACATAAATTCACCTGTGCTGCAAACTGCCTTGCTTCTTCTAGAGGAGCATCAGAAGGAAATTGATTTGTAAAGGAAGAACCATCAGGCAGACGGAATTGAATTCTTGCAACAGTGCTATTAAAAAAAAGAAAATTAAAGTTAGTACCTTTACATATTCTCAAACTGTGTCATTTAAAAAATGAAATATGGAAGTGGAAATGCGCAATGACAATAGATTTCCTTTCATGTCAGAGCTTTTCGTTTATTATTTTTTTATTAGCACCACATTGAGATAGAATTCATATAACTCACCCATTTAAGGTGTACAATTCAGTGGTTTTCAATCTATTTAGAGTTGTATAACCATTACCATTATTTCCAGACTATTTTATCACCTCAAAAAGGAACCCATTAGCAATCACTCTCTATTCCTCCCCAACCCCTGGCATCCATTAATCAATCTATTATCTGCACGGATTTGCCTCTTTTGGACATTTCACATAAGAAAATCATACAATATATGATCTTTTGTAACTGGTTTCTTTTATGTAGCATTATGTTTTCAAAGTTCATCCATGCATGCATTAGTTCTTTATTCCCCTTTAATGCTGAATATTACAGTTGTACGAGATATTACATTTTGTATACCCATTATTCATTTCATTGCCATTTAGGTTACTGCCACATTTTGAATATGGAAATTATGAATAATGCCAAGAGTATTCATATGTACAGGTTTTGGTGTGAATGTTTACAGTTCTCTTGGATATATACATAAGAGCGATTGCTATATCATATGGTACACCTCTACATTTAATATTTTGAGGAACTGCCAGATTCTTTTCCAAAGTGGCTGCACGTTTTTACCATTTTATAATCCCTATGTTCATGTAGGAAAAGTTCCAAATTCTCTCTACCTCCTTGTAGGAGACATCCCGGCCCAGTATTAGCAGGCTATGAATGGTATGTGCTTCTTGCCTTCTATAATGCAGCTATATTGTTTTATATCAGAAGTCTGACTGAAGCTCTATGTGACTCAAATGGGCATGTCAGATGGTGGACTGGGCAAGTATAGCCTCTCCCTAAATAGCTGCCACAGAAACGTAGGCCCTGGTCTGTGAAGTGGCAGGACTCTGCTGAGTTACATGCAGCTGAGGTCAGCGTGAACCCAATTAAAACCCTTTCCTCTGAATTATGGCTTCTCACTGACCCAATGGGTTGCATGCTAATTGCACCTGGTCCCAGTACAGGTTTCTTCTATCCAAGCAAGATAAACAGTGCTTACTCCCTAACATCCCTGCCTGGTGCCATCATGCCAGGTATTCGGGAGTATTTCACTATTTCATGCCTTCAAAGCATACCCTGCTCCCAATTCTTTCCCATGATTGTATTCAATAGATACTGATGTGTTTGGGGGCCTTTGTCTTTGCTACCATCAGCAGGACTGACTAAGACCCAAGACTCAGCTTTTCCACTCTAAGTCTTGTTTCTGTCTGTTCTTGAATTTGCTTTGTGCTGTGGTGGCTCACAGCCCAGGACCCACGGCAAAGGTCCTAGTAACATCCCCTTTCCCGCACCCTACACCTCCTCACCAACACTTGCGATTATCTCTAAGTTTAGGAATTCTTTTTTTGTTTTGTGAGACAGGGTCTTGCTATACAGTCCTTGAACTCACTATGTACCTCAGGCTACCCTGCAACTCACAGCAATCCTCCGGCCTTTCAGTGCTAGGATTACTGGCATCCTGACAGAACTGAAGTAGTATTTTATTGTGGGGTATGTATGCTTTTGTTTTTGCTTCTTACTGTGTAAGGGATCAACCTAGGGACTTGGGTAGGGTAGTTAAGTGGTCTATCTCTAGGCTGCACCTCTAGCCACTTATTGTAGTTTTGTGTCATGCAATGACTAATGACACTGAGCATCTTTTCACATATGTATTGGCCATTTCTATATCTTCTCTGGAAAAACTCCTATTTAAATCCTTTTCTCATATTTGAAGAGGGTTGTCATTTTATTGTTGAGTTACAAATTTTCACATTCTGGATACAAGTCCTTTATTAAATAACAGTTTGCAAATATTTTTTCCATTTTTATGTAGTCTTTTCAGTTTGTGAAACAAAAAATATTTTAAATTTTCATGAGGTCTAATCTATCTTTTTCTTTTAATGCTTTTGTTTGGCATATGTATAAGAATCCACTGCCTACTCCAAGATCACAAAGATTTATTCCTTTTTTCCCCCCTAAAAATTTATACTTTACATAGCTTTACATTTAGGTAGATGACCCATTTTGAACTTTTTATATGGTGCGAGGTAAGGGTCCAAATTCATTTTATTACATGTGGATAACCAGTAGTCCAAGCATAATTTATTGAAAATATTATTCTTTCCCACTGAATGTTTTTGGTATCCTTTTCAAAAATAATAAAAATTGCAATTTCTAGAAACTCAACTCTACTACACTGATTGATATGTTCATCCTCATGGCAGCATGACAATGTCTTTGTCACTATCGCTTTGCAGTAAGACAATTATTTATGGGACTAAACTCAAAGAGTCTGCCAGGCATGCACTCTACCACTGAGCTACAGCCTCAGCACCACCACCTTATCCTCTTTTTAAAAATTCATTATCACGCCAGGGATTTAGCTCAGTGGTTACGCTGCCTGTCTCAAAAGCGCAAGGACCAGAGTTTGATCCCCAGTACCAAACAAAAACAAAAACACAGAGTCATGTTTTGGGCCAGGGATTTAGCTCAGTGGTTCCACCGCCTGCCTTGCAAGTGCAAGACCCAAGTTCGATCCCCATTATCAGGGGCCGAGGATTTAGCTCAATGGTTCTGCCACCTGCCTCACAAGCGCAAGGTCCCAAGTTCAATCCTCTATATCAAAAAAAAAAAAAAAAAAAAAAAAAAAATCATTATCTATCTATGGTCTTCTTTTTTTTTTAGTTTTTCACTTGGTTTTATTTATTTATTTTTCCCCATTAAGTTTAATGGTACATTTTAGGTATAAAATACAGTTACAAACATCATTGGGATCTTGTACCATTACATGAGTATCTTGGTTCTTATTTTATCTATGGTCTTTTTGAGACAGGGTCTTGCTATGTCACGCAGGCTGCTGGTGAACTCACCATGTAGCCTAGGCTAGCAGCCTCCCAAGTGCTGAAATTAGAGATATGTGTCACCATATTGAGACAGAGTCTTGCTAAGCTGCACAGGCTGGCCTAGAAATCTCAATCCTCTAGCCTTAGCCTAATCAGAAGCTGAGATTAACTATAGGAGTGCAACATCATGCTTGACTGAGAAAAAAATTTTTTTCCTGGCACTGGGAAATGAACCCAGGGCTTTTGTTTTAGCTACATCTCCCACCCTTTTTAAATTTTTAAATTTTGAGACAGGGTCTTGCTAAGTCACTAAGTTGCCCCAGATGGCCTCAAACTCAAGGCAATCCTGCTGCCTTAGCCTCCCAGAGTGCTAGGATTACAGGCATGCACCACTCACACCTGGCTCGAGATACCATTTTTAAAAGTAATCTTTCTGAAAAAGTAATCTTTCTGATTACTAAAGTAATACTGTTGTGTCTGATTTCAAAATATACCTAAATATCAGCCAGACCCCATTTGCATACAGATGTTGCAGTATAAAAACAGGAAGAAATACCTTCTTTCTCTTGCATATGATTCCCTCTTGCCTTCCATTTCTGCCTGTTTGGCCAGTAAGGCAGCGGCTTTGGCAGCCTCTACTTCTTCCTTTGTCTTTGCAAAACGAGCCGCTCTCTCTGCACGATCCTTTTAATTAAAACATCATTAGACAGCATTCACCTTTCACTGACAGAATGATCTATTCATACACTTCCAACACCAGAAACAAATACACATGAAATCCCTTCAAGCCATGTGATCTTTAGTCATCCTCAATCTGATATTAATTTTAATCATTTGTGTCAGGAACCACAGTTATTATTAGACAAACAAACACATGAATTCATTCACTATTGTATCTCTAGGGCCTGGGACAAGGTCTAGCACATAGTAGATGCTCAATAAATATTTGCTGAATGATCAAATGAATAATCAATATTAAGGTGAGTGTAGTCTTTATATGTATTCCAAGTGCTGAATTCTAAAAGCAATTGCTGCAAAACTTTATCCCAAGCTTTATAATGTGCCTAAATTCTTTGAATGCCCCCCCAATGTTTTTGACTAGAAACAGTTACATAATCACATAATCAATTCTTAGCTTGTTTTCTAGGCAATCTTTGAAAGATGTTTTTATGGGCAAATTCATAACAAAACATAGAGAAAAATAAGTCAGGAAAAACCTAATTTTAATCTTAACTATTTTAACTCAATATGCAATTTTTTTTTTTTTTTTGGTACCGGGGATTGAACTCAGGACCTTGCGCTTGCATGGCAGGTAGAACCACTGAGCTAAATCCCTGGCCACAGGATTGGTACTCTTTGAGTCACTAAAACCTACTATTTTTGTGTGCACTGTCTGGTTGTAACCCAAAGCTACTGTGGTTGGAAAAATAATTTAACAAATGTCATGGAGTGTAAAAAAAAAAAAGGTTCACCAATGCAATTTGCTGTTTTATCCGTTCTCGAGCTGCCCTATCTTCTGCCTTTTCTCTGTTTCTTTCTTCCAACATTCTTTTTGTTAATTCTTCTTCTTGTTTTCTTTTATAATCCAACATTTCTTTTCCCGTTTTTCTCCTTTCAATTTCCTTCTTAATCTCTCTCTGAATCAAAGAGAAAGTAAATTTTATAAACCAAAAACAAAAGTTGATAATCTGCCTTAGGTATTATTTTGAATGTACAGAAAGCTGGCTATAGCATGCAGTTAAGACATTAGAACTTCATAAAATTAGAGATCTAACAATTTACTCACAGCATACTTAATGGACAAAGGTCTATCAATCTTTTAAATTTTTGCCAGTCGTTTTTCAGACTACAAGAGCCAACATAATCTGAAGACAAGAAGAATTATAGGTCCTTGGTTTCTAGGGCAAATATGTTACCCTCCAAGGACAAGCCTTGAAGGAAATAGCCTACGTATATTAGAGCTCTAAAGAAATGATGCAGTGAGGTGTACATGGTGAGACAGGGTTTGGCTAAGTTATACAGGCTGGCCTAGAAATCTCAATCCTCTAGCATTGGCCTCATCAGAATCAGGGATTAATTATAGGAGTGCAACATCATGCTCAACTGAACATGGTGCAACATGACCAGAAAAATTTAGCAGAGTATCTACATGTCTTTTTTTTTAATTTTGGAGACAGGTTCACACTATGTAGTTCAGGCTGGTCCTGAACTGGCTATGTAGTCCAGGCTGGCCTCGAACTCAGCAATCCTCCTGCCTCAGCATCTCGAGTGATGGGACTGCAGGAGTGCACCACCACGCCTGGTTTGAGAATATCTACAGATTTCTTTGTCACAAAAGGGAACTGATAAGCTTGATCTTTTGCCTCAAGTCAAATAACTTTAGTTCAAGTCCCTTTTATACTTAAAGTAAAAGATTGATTACTGAGGAAAAAAGTATTTCTAGCAATTTATTAAACCCCTCCACAAAAAAAGTATAAACTATGATCTGAGTGTAGATAACAAATAATTCCCTTCACTACAACATTGCTACTACATCAAACTAACTAGGAAGTCACTGGAGGACTGTCAAATTGAACAAAACAATAAAAAATTCCCTCACTTAAGAGAAAGGTAAAACAATGCTACATGCATGAACTTTACCTGTTCTTCTTCTTTCCTTTTCTCTTCTCTCCTTTCTTCAAGTTTTTTTGTTAGTCTGTGTTTTAAAAACATATACTGAGGCATATCATTTTAAATTAAAACATATTTAAGAGACTTACAAGTACTTAGCTAAAACAACTGAAGAAATAGAAAAACTAAAAAGAAAAGCTATATAATAACAATTTTATCTGCTTGGTCCCTGACTGCTATAGAAATCTGAGTTGACTAGAACCCATCAGGAGCCTAACTCCAGCTCTAAGCAACTTATCTCCTGCTTACTATTACAGTCCATGATTTATCTGATATATATGTGTGCGTGTGTGTGTGTGTATATGTGTGTGTGTGTGTTTGTGTGTGTTTTGTACCCAAGATTGAACTCAAGACCTTGCGCACTTGCCAGGCAGGTATGGCACCGCTAAGCAACATCCCCGGCCCATCTGATATATATTGCAAAATACACAAATTTTATTTAGTCTTTTAAAAAATATTTTTCTTTTAAAAATACACAAATACATTTTCAAACAAATATATGTCAATGACTAATACACATTCTACCCTCCTTATAAGAAAATGGCAACATGGCATAAAAATTGGTCAAAATAAAAGCAAAACACTTTAAGACCAACATTTAATACCAAGATTAGAGAATAGTGATGGTTGTACAACCTTGCAAATATAATAATACTGAATACACATTTGAATTTTATGATATGTGAATTATGTAAACATTTTAAAAAATTAACTGTATTTGCTTTAAAAGATTTTGGGGCCAGGGATTCAGCTCAGTGGTTCCATTGCCTGCCTGGCAAGTGCAAGATCCCAAGTTCCATCCCAGGTACCAAAAAAAAAAAAAAATGATTTTGGATTACATAGGTGTGTGCCTTAGTTAAAAACTCAGCTAGGTGGCCCCGGGATCTAGCTCAATGGTTTTACCACCTGCTGCACAAGCTCAAGGACCCAAGTTTGATCCCCGGTACCAAGAAAAAAAAAAACCTCAGCTAGGGCTGGGGATATAGCTCAGTGGTTCTGCTACCTGCCTCAAAAGCACAAGGTCCCAAGTTCGATAACCAGAAACAACCCCCCCGCAAAAAAAAATCTCAGCGAAAGGCCAGGAATTTAGCCCAGCAGCACAGCGTCTGCCTGGCAAGCTCAAGGTCCTGAGCTCAATCACCAGTATAAAAAAACCCTAAAACTCAGCTAAATGACTTGTGCCTTCAAAGGAATATTCATAAAATGAAAGGGATATGTCAAACGGTATGGAAGGGACATGTCAAAAACCCAATATGAAGGGGATTTCATTAGTCAAATTTGGGACAATCTCTACATCAAAAAGAATAAGAGTAATTGTCGGGAGCAATGCTACATAATTTTAGGGAAAAATCATCTGATTAGGCCTAGTTCTCCTGCCTACAGACCAGTTATGGCATTTCCAGACATCATTCCATTTTGGCCTCTGGTCACAACTGAGACCTCAATGATCCTGTGATGCTGTGATGCTCCAGGGCAAGACTACACCAGCTGGAGACATCCTAGGAGGAACCAAACCTTCATCTGCATAGTTCCTCATTGTTCTAGGATCTTCTCTGCTCCCTCAGAGTCAATTACTACTTTTGTTTCTGCCAGATGTTCTGAATAAAGGTGTGGCAAGCTGAGATCTGGGGTCTTTGTCCCCAGAGCAGCACTGATCAGGCCCAAAAAAGCTTCTTCTCTAAGTCCCATTTCTGTCTATATATTAATTAATTCAACTTGTGCTGTCTTGACTCGCAGGAGACTAGGACTTACTGCAGAGGTTCTAGTAAGGTCCCTTTTCCCTGTTCGCTACAAGTAATGGATTATAACACATTACAGAAAAAAAAAGATGATCCTAAAATATCTTAATTGCTAGGGAGGATTATAAATCATCATTTGGCAGACTTCTCAGTATTTATAACCCCAGAAATTCCCATTCTTACATCTACGTGCCCAGAAGAAATATATACACAGTGGTTTCGCCGCCTGCTGCGCAAGCGCAAGGACCTGAGTTCGATCCCTGGTACCAAAAAAAAAGAAATATATACACACAAATTCATCAAGACATACATAAAAATATTCTTCATAGTAACACATATAGCGCCCCAAACTGCAAAGAATCCAAATACTGTACTCATCAATAATAAACTGGATAAATAAGTCATGGTATAGTTGAACAAAATTTCTATATAGCAATGAAAGTATACCATTGCCACATGTAATATCACATAAGAGCTTCACAAATACAGTGCTGAACAAAGGAAACTAAATGCAAAGAGTACAGGGAAAATTAATCTGTAGTGTTAGATCAGGATAATGGTTACCTTAGGAAAGGAAGACCTATCAATAAGGTGCATTAGGAAGTTGTGGTTTTGGTTTTGTGTGTGGTACTGGAGATTGAACCCAAGGCCTTTGGACTGAGCCATATCCCCACAGTGATTCAAAAAAAAAAAATTGGGGGGCTGGGGATTTAGCTCAGTGGTTCCAGCACCTGCCTTGCAAGTGCAAGGTCCCGAGTTCGATCCCCGGTACCAAAAAAAAAAAAAATTTTTTTAAATTTTTGAGACAAAGTTTTACTAAGTCAATTGCCCAGGCTAGGTTCAAACTTCTTATTTCAGCCTCTCAGAATGTCAGAATTACAGGCATGAGCCACCATACTGTGGCACTGCTTAACCTTTGTTCCCTTTTCTCTAGCCCCATTGTGATTAAATGCGAGTTAATGGATAAAGATGCTTGTTAGTTTTGGGACACTAGATAAAAATCTGTAACAGACCTAAAGTCCCAAAGTAAACTACTCAACTCCTTGATTGCCCAGAACTGATGTTCCGGACACCACAATCTATCGAACAAGCTACAATCTGCTGACCATCAATATGTGACAGTCGACCACTAACCTTTGTCTCCTGTTCTTTAATTCTATATGTTAACTTCCCCCTCAACCCCCTATAAGAACAGCCTTGGACTCTGAGCCAGTTGCCTCTCTAAGCTATTTTGCTTTGGGAGTGCCGTCTGGCCAGACTAATAAAGGTCTGTTTTATTTTCCAACTTGTCCGGTGTGTTCCTTCCCGGGTGTTCTTCGCTGCAGTCAGCTCCTCGGAGCGTTTGGTAAGGCCCTTGGTCTTACAATACCCAGCTGACTTTGCAGAATAGATCACAGGTAATTTTCTATTTCTTAATCTGGTGCTAGTGTTCAACAATACATCTACTGAGGAAAAGCGGGGCAGGCAGAAAACAGCACTTCTCTACAAAAGAACATTAGCTAATGAGTTTAGAAGGAATAAAATTAGGAAAAACAATTTTTAACTACCAATGAAATAAATGAGCAAATAACCAATGGATGTCAAAAACACTGGAAGGCCTGGGATTTAGCTCAGTGGTTCCATTGCCTGTGTCAAAAGCAGAAGGTCCTAGAGTTCGATGCCCGTAACAAAACAAAACAAAGCAAAACAAAACAAAACAAAACAAACATTGTGTCAGGTAAAAAAGCCCAAAACCAAGACCAGACCAGGCCACATCAAGCCTTTATTGCAGGGACGATCTGCCAGGATGTCTCTGGACAAAGGAGAGACAAAAGCAATATGGCCGGGGCAGGGAGCTCTTCTTATAGGAGCTGGGGTGGGGTTAAGTGAGGTAGTGGCTAGGGACTGGAAGAGCCTGTGATGTCACTAGTTGCTAGGAGGAGAGCAAGTATTAGGTTACTCTTTTGGGGGGAATAGGGGCATGTTGGGAAGAAGGTAGCTATTATATATATCAGACACTCTAAATTAGAGGGAAATCTATCACACTGAAGGAACGTTGCTGAAAAACAGGATACTGTTTCAAAGAATCACCCCACAACTTATTAGCTAGAAAGGAAAAGGGGTACCTTTATAATGGAGAGATCTAATAGATATCATCAACCAAATTATTAACCTCAACATCACCAACAATGTATATATCTTATGTTAGTTGCCCCAATATGAGAAATGAGAAAGACAAACCATTACCTAGGTAATGTTGGGTTTTTTTGGTACCAGAGATCGAACTCGGGACCTTGAGCTTGCAAGGCAGGCACCAGAACCACTGAGCTAAATCCCCAGCCTGCTAGGTAATGTTTTTAATGAAAGTTTAACCTAAATCTAGTAATAACAGAATTAGGGATTGGATCATGGGACATTCTAGGAACAACTAGCCTACACTCTTTAAAAAGTGTCCAACTCATGAAAAATGCCAACAAAAACAAATGTTTTGGGTTCAAACAAGATTAAATTAAATGCAATGAAAAATCCTTCACTGTGATAGATTTCCCTCCAATTTAGGGTGGCTGCTGTATATAACAGCTACCTTCTTCTTCCCAACATGCCCCTAACTCCCACCAAAGAGTAACCTAATACTTGCTCTTCCTAAAAGCTAGTGACATCACAGGCTCCTCCAGTCCCCAGCCACTATCTCACTCAACCCCACCCTAGCTTCTACAAGGCCCACCTCAGCTCCTATAAGAAGCACTCCCCATCCTGGCCATATTGCTTTTGTCTCTCCTTTCTTCAGAGACAGCCCGGCAGATTGTCCCTACAATAAAGGCTTGTTGTGGCCTGGTCTGGTCTTGGTTTTCAGCTTTTTTACCTGACATACCTGGTGCCGGAAACCTGGGAGGCAGGCAGTCGATTAAGTGCCAATACCCTGCAGGTCAGGGTCAACTGGCCTTTTGGCCACCTCCTCTGGACCACATCTGCTGAGCCAGAACCTTCTCAGGGCTTTCTGCCTTTGCCACTGCTGATGCTGCACATCCACACCGGTCACCAGTCTCTGGGTGAGTAGGCAGTTCAGCCTCCCTCTCATTGGGTCCTCTGTCTTATTCTCATTCTCTCCCTTTGGGGACTTCTCAGAAATCCAAGTGCTTGGTCAGAGAGACCCCTTGGCCACTGGGCCCAAGACTGTGCCCCTGGGGGACGCCCCATCAGCGCGGCTCCTCTCATTCTCTCCCTCCAGAAGACTCAGAGATTGTCAAAGGAGACAAGGATGCTCCTCTCTTTTGTCCATCTCCCAGGGAGCTGCCTCCTCCTCACC